GTGATTGATGCGAAATTCACATTTTTTGGACTTGGGATATAAATAATAAGCAAATAAAACTTAAAAACGAACACATTTAGAAATGATTTTTAAATTGTTCAAACATGACAGCGATCATGTTTGGTATATCTTTAATTTTGAGGCTTCTTAAATCTGAGATATATTTTGAATTACTATGTATTTTATGGTATTTGTAGAAAACAACATCTGATATCTGAGAACTTTGAACTTTGAAACAAAACATAAATCTTTAATGCTTTCCAAGCCGGAGCAGTAAATAAAATTGACATTCTTACAAGCATGGATGGGTAATTGGGATGGCTTAACATCTATTGGTTTTCCTATTGATTGGTATTTATTTCCAGAGGTATTGGCATTTCCATGACAAAAACCGATTGAAGCGGCAACCCTTCCCGTTTTCGTTTTCGCCTCCACCGCAGACTCCAAGTTGAGTCACAGCTCAAGGGGATTGTGTGGTGGAAGGAGGAGGAGGAGGAGGAGGAACCCAATCGGCAATCGACACTTGTCCTTGAACGCCAGCCAGAAGAAGAGGCTGAAGCTCAAATGAGCCATGTTGGCAGAGCTGCCAAAATGCAGTCAACGGCGACGCCGCCAGAGACGTCGGCGTTCAGCCGATGTCGTCAGCAGCGGCAACATTAGCAGCACCACCACAGCGGCAATTTCGAGAATTAAGTGATTTGGAATACCATATTTATGCCAAATTACATGCTAAAGTTATGTATACATAAAGTTAACTAAAGAACCGAATGTTATTTAATACCAACTAAGAATGAATTGGCATACGTTTCAGTATTACACCACACTAAAACTTCTTTTCATCATTAGACAGCACTGCCAGGAATAAAAATGTATCGCAGCACGATACGCAGCAACAATTAACGAGCAGCAATATTACCGTAAAATAGCAGCAACATTGTTTCTTCGGGAGAATGTCGGAAGCAACTACGTCTGCAACATGAAAGGAAAGAAGGAAAGACGCCAGCAACACTACACTAGCAACATCAGAGCACAGCAACAACTCTGCAGCAGCAGCAGCAGCAGAAGCAGCAGCAACATGAGGGACGTCAGCAGCGGCGGCCCTCGAATTTTGGGGCTTGGCTGCCGTCTCTTTCGCGCCCCGCCCGCCCCTGCCGCGCTGCCCCCCTCTACGGCACTCTCGCCAAATGAACAACTGTCGCTGTAGTCGCTGATTGTTGTTCTTGTGGCTCAGCATAAATTCGCAAAGTATGCGAAATTTATTAGGGTCTGTTTCGCATGTGCCGATGTTGTTGTTGCTGTCGTGGCTCGTCTAATTTAAAGTTCACAGGCAAACACACACACACACACACATGTGGCAGCCCATTTGCACACACACACACGCCCAGCGAGAACTGCTCTCTTGTGTGAGTGTAGCACACACACACACCGATAAAAAACCCGAAATAGCGAATAAAGGCAACGCAACAACAGCAACAAAAATGTTTATATTAATTTTTGTATGTTGTTAAATTGGTTTTGCATTGCCGGAGTTGTTGTTGCAGCTCGTTCAGCGCGCGTTGTTGTAGTTTTCATTTACCTTATTTCTGCTCTTTTCTATTGATATTGTTATTGATATTTGCCAAACTGTTGGCCAAAAGGCAACTAACACACGTCCAGCAGCTTGTGCTATCTTTAGTGCGTGTGTGTGCGTCTCTTTTCGGCACTTTTCGCGTGTGTGGGTGAGCGGCGATTAAACTTAATAAATTCGCGAATTGATCGCGCGTGTAAGTACCGATATATGTATGTACTAATTGATGTTATGTTTAGCGATCAAAAACAGCGAATTTGTGCATTGATAAGCCATTCTTTCCTATAAATAAAATGTTTTGTGCTACCAACAATCGCCTTTTGATTGATTCGTACTTGCTACTGGTTTTCTTGAGTCTAATATGGGAGTATTTTTAGAGATCATAGCTCAATCATAAAGCCCTGTCTTGCTGACTAATAATTTGGCTGCGAGGGTTTCTCAGGCTGCAGCTAACTTATTAGCCACAAATGGGAGCCCATTCGGAATTAACTGGCCATAAAAAGCAGCGAGTTCTGCGCAAATTGCAGAGGTAGATAGATGTCCATTAAATGGACTTTTATCGAGCGCCTTTCCTGTCACCTTGCCATTACCGGCGCGATACTCATATAGAGAGCGCTGGCCATTACATAATCGCCACTTTGGATGCATGACTACGACGCTTTGTGCCACAAGGAATGGCAAGAACAGGCCGTCAAGAGCAGCTTGCCAGCACAGCAACACGAATGAGTTGCTAGTTGGCCACTAGGAACGATGGCGAGCGAGGCGAGGCTAGTTCAAAAACATGTTTTAACCTTTTTCGTGGCGTGCAAAAGCCCAGCCCGGCTTACAAGCTCCAAAAGCAACACAAAAAGGTAAGAAATAAATAAAACATAATACGCACACACAGCTTTGGCAACGAGAACATGGCTACAAAAATTAAGAAGGGTAAGCGGAGCACGCGAAAAATTTGGCAGAAATGGCCAAAGGCGCAGAAAACCCAAAAGCCGCCGAATCGCCAATTTCTGCGCATGCGCCGCTGCCTGCGTCGGCGGCGGCGTCGACAGCGCAGCCGGCGTCGACGGCGACGTCGCTGTCAAACCTTTGAGCGGGGACTTAGACGTGACTTACAAACTAAATGCGCTCGCTCAAGGTTAAAGCCGTTTATTTGTAAGCCAACGGCAAAAAACGAAACTGAAAACTGAAAAGCGCCGAAAGAATCTCGCGAAAAAGTTGAAGTTGATATTTGCCGAAGTTGTTTCTTTTTAAGCGAAGCAACATGTGCGTTTGTGTGTGTTTTCGCTGCCCCACCGCGTGTTTCAGAACCAAAAGGCGGTTTGAAGGTTTTTTACGGTTTAAAATTATAAGTTTTAAGAAATTCATTTTATAAGCGTTGGTCAAGATAATGGGAAGATCTTCAAAGATATTAAATCTTGACACTATTAAATATTGTGCGATAAATATGTGATATGATGTTATATAATATTTTTCAATATTAGCATAGTATCTCAGCATGTGAAAGATTACGGTGTTTAAAAGTATGTTTACGCCCAACTATCTGCAGCCAGATTAGCTTCCACATCTGCTGATATACGGTTGGTGCTCCTAACTTATTTTGTATCTATGAAACGCACAGCACGTAGTGTAATGAAGCCCGCTATTGTACTGCAACTCGAAGGACCGATCGTGTTGGCCATGCCAACGAATAAAGCCATAAGGTTCTCTATTGATCCGCGCAATATCCGTTAATAATACGCATCTGGGGTCTATTGTTGAATTGATTGCCCGAGTGAGTGGCTTTTGTGCGATAAAATGGATAAAATGGGACTCGATTAATTAGCGGCCAAGCTTGCAGCCATATCAATGCGCGCTAAGAGAAAAATCGTGTTGCGAAATAAACAAATGATTCAACTTTAACCTGACCCTGCATGTCTGTCACAGATCGGCGGCAGCAGCTGCTGTATTATATACTTTTTATTCCGATGACATCATTCCAGAGTCGCAGCAATAGTGTCTCGGAGGCCCGGGCCATTTGTTTTAATCGCAGCCGAAACAAAAGTGTTTAAAGTGCAATGAAAATGAATTGCTGTGCGCGCAGTTGACCAAAAATGTGCATTCGCATTGATTTCGAGCTTGATTTCGAGTGCAATCCGATGCCACTCGATACCCACCCACCCAATGCACCCACCCACGCTCGCCATAAGCCAAAGCTGTCAAAATATCAGCTGCAACTAAATTAGTGAGCCTGACAAATGCCAAACAAGCCACAAGTTGTTGTAGGTGCCACAATTCAAATTATTCAATTAGCATGCATTGCGTATTTTCATCTATTTTCAAAGACGACGTCACCACCGATTTTTGCTTTTGCAGCTAATACACTTGAAAAATCAAAGTGCAGCTTAGCAAAAGCCGCCTGGAATTGCTTTTAAACGAAGAACCAAAACAATTTTAAATCATCCCATAAAAATAAGGGAAGTAAAAGTTTGAATTTCGCTTGGGCTTCAGTATCTTAATCTTTAAGTGCTGTGAAATATTCTGGACTGTGTGCGACTTTTGTTCTGAGTGTGGATTTGGCAGTGCTGCCGTGCTTTTCTGCTGCTCCTATTAGCCAACACGATCGAGTCGCGTTTGTCCTTCACAAGCCGTCGACCAATTTGGCAGCGATTTGGCAGCGGCTTTAGCGGCAGTTACTTTGACCATATGGGCGCGAGCAGACGACTTACCAATCTTTAATGGCTTTGCGAAAAGCAAAAATCGATGGATAAAATGGGAAGCAGAACGCGTCGAAAATCGATGCTAAAATGGCAGGGCGCGCCACGACAGATACTTTTGGCAATTAGCAATAGTTGAGTCGGATACTGAAACGCAAACACTGGCAAACATCGGTCGCCATGGTAGAGAGCGTGGGATAATTAATACACCAAATTCCGCCAAAGCCGAACATTTGCGATAAAACAAGATCGAATCGGATGAGTAAGCGTAAGCGACTAGATCGCAGATGCCCTTGACAATGACTCTATTCCATATAGTTTTCTAATTTATAGCTAGGCATCTAGTTTAATAGTTAATGTTTAATAGCTAATAAACACATTCTAGGCAGCTTGTAGCTCTTAGACGCATTTTTTACTGTGATTTCCTGGAATTCAAATATTATACGCAAAATCTGAACATAATGTGTAAAGCTTTGTGAAAAACATTTTAAATTTTAATCTTATTGTCGATTATTTATTATTTTGTTTATACAAGCCAACACCGCCGACTAAGTTTATTTTATTCATTTAGTAATCCATGGACATGTCTGAAAAACCCCCTGAATTTGTATCTCTAAATTACGTTGAACTTCCAACTGAATAAAGCTGAATAAATTATTAGACTCGTCCAAAACCATTCAAATCGCGCCTTCCTTTGTAAAGATATTTTCCATAAAATATGTGTAGATATTAATGAGCGAACAAACCTTGTCATTTCCGCAATTGAAGGTAGACGGAGCACTATAACATTTGCACTGCGTTTGTGGTCGGGCAAAGTATCTTTCGGTATTTCGGTATTTCGATTATTCGATTATCTGGAGTATGCAGCTGTATCTCTCAAGTTCAACTGGCACATTGATGCGACGAGGCATTTGCTGATGATATTTCTGCGATTGTATCTCACACACTTTGTAGCAAACACTCGCGCACGTTCTCAGTTTGGAATTCCTTTGTGCAAATTATTACACAATGCCTGATGAGCCAAGCAGCAAGCAGCAAACACCGAACCCATAGACGGAAAAAGAGATTCGAAAAGAGAGCAGTTGAAAGACTGGTTGCGGCTAAAACGGTAACCCTCCTCTGGAGCCCTGTCCCAGCTTAGATTCCCATCCAGAACCCAGGCGCATGCGATCCGATCCGATCCGATCCCTAACGCTCAGATCCCTGGGTCGAGTAAACAAAATAAGCGAAATGGGCTCTATGAAGGCGCAAGTGAGCAAAATATAAGGGCGGCGACATACCCTGCAGAGGGCTGAGCAATTGGGCTAAGAAGCTTACGTTTGAACAAGCTCAATCTAAGTTAGTGTAAGAAATTTAGCGAATCCTTTAAGCCAACTACGCTACCACTTTATGTATTTTGCTAGCTGTTTAACAATTTTTTCCTGGTCTACCCAGGATTATAGTGCTCTAATGAAGAGCAAGGACCAAGTTTTGTCTTAATGGAATTAATCTAAATATTATTTAAGCTGATTGCAATGTATCTGTGAAAGATCTCATTTCTATGGAGAGCATTCAAATAGTCGGGTATCTTGCCACTTGGGCTCTTATGATTTCTTCGGGGGATTTATTTTGCGTTGCCAAAATTCGGCGCAGCGACGGGACGGAAAGGGATGGGCAAAGCTTACAGCGCTCCGTCTTTATATACACATATATTTATCTTTTTTCAAAACTTTTTTCTGTATTTCTGCCGCGCGACATTTCGAGCAACGATCAAGGGCAAGTTGGACATGCCGCTGCCGCAGCAGACTTGCTGCCTCACCCTTGAAGCGCTTACAGCGGACTCGCGGATGTATCTGTGCCCTGTATCTGTATCTGAACGGCTTTCGCGTCTGTATCTGTGCATCTGTGTCTTCGAATTCGAATAGGGTGTGTGTGCTTCTCTTGGAGGGTTTTCGCTTTCAAACGAGCAATTTGCGAATTTCGTCGGCTGCTTATAAAATTGTGTATTTATTCCCCGTTCGCCGACGTTTGCCTGCTAACCTAGTAGCCAGCCAGTCGTTTGCTCTTTTTTGTAAGTCTCGCTTTGTCTCGATTCTTTTCGGTTTCTTTCCGTATCATCCCCAGTGTGTGTCCCCTGTTCCTCTGAGGATCGCTTTTAATTCTATGGAATTGTCTGAAAATTAAGCACAAAAAGTGCAGAGCCGAAAAGAACCTTTGTGAAATGCTGCTCACATGTTAGACACACACTCAAACCATCATGAATATGATGATGATGATGATGATGATAGTCATCACCAGCTGATGCCCTTCCACTCACACCCTATGCTGCCTCTCTGTCTCCCTTTTGTTTATTCACCTTTTCGGTTTTGTCATTATAATTCGGTTTGTGAATTTCAGGTTTTGCTTTTACAGAAATCATTTGCCATTTGCATGTGTGTAGACGGTGATAGTGCCATATTGCATTACATTTGAAGGAACTTCTGGGGCTCGTAATGGATCGGATAATGGGTTTCTATTTAAATGATTACAGCGAATTCCTGAGCAACTAAGCGCTTTCTTGGAAGCCAGGAAATCTGCACTTGAAACTAAAAAGAAACTACTGCAGCACATTATATACTCTTATTTATTTGTAGTATTTACTGTCTCTGTTTCTGGCTTATTTCCCATTTACTTTAAATTGAAATACAAATGCAAAGTTGAAAATATAAACACAATTCTTCTTAAATTTGCATTTTGACTATTTGCCATTATCCTGCCACTTCTTCCACTTCTATACTCCATACTGTTTATTTTGAATTATTTTTTAAAGCACAACTACTAAGAGATGTAGATTCTCGCACAGGACTCCAAGTTCGGCGCAGCCTTCAACTGTTATCACTCTTTTTCCGCCAGGATCGCCTCATACTTTGATTATCTTTTTGCTTTCAGGCAGCAAGGCGCCACATGTTGCACTGTCGCATGTGTTGCGATTGTTCACAGTTCACGGTTTTCGTTGCTGATCGCATATTCACAACACTCGCAGATGATTGTTCTCACTCAGATCGTCTTTCGTTTTCTGTAATCTTGCGCTTGTTTTCAATTTTTGTTTTCAGATATTTGGTTTTAGATTTTTGTTGTTGCTTGACGTGCAATAGAAACGCGTGCCACAACGTTGCGGTTGCAGTTGTTTTTAGCGAGTGTTCGTTGCAAATGCTGCAAATAATGCTAAAAGTCTAAAAAGAACACGTCCAGCAACAACTTAGACGACGCGACGTCGCAGTCGCAGTCGCCGCCGGCAGAGGCAGCAGCAGCCAGAGCCGCAGCAACAACAACAGCAGCAACATCGCCAGTTGCAGCGGTGAATTTCGCATGTGGCAAATGCTGGAGTTGCAGTTGCCCTCTCTCTCTCTATCTCCCTCTCCCTGGACCGGCCCTCTCGCTCGCTCCGTTTCTCGAGCTCTCTTTCGCACATTGGCATTAGAATAGGCTTAGTCTTAGATGGGCAACGAACGGCGATCGTTCTCGGCTTCGTAGCCTCCCGAACGCCTTCCGCACGGCCCCCTTCTACGCCCCTGCCCCGCCCCCTTTTCACGAACTGCCTACTTCTGCAGCTGAGCAATGAAAAGCTGTCCCAGTGTCTGTGGGTATCTGTGTGTGCGTTAGAGATGCTCTGTTCTTGCGGCACATGTGCTCACTACACTGGGCAAAAGCAAAAGCCTTTCTCTAGATTTGATCTTATATGATATGATGTAGTATGATATGGTATGATATGGTATGATATGGTGTGATATGGTATGATATGATATGGTATGATATGTATGATATGTATGATATGTATGATATGTATGATATGATATGAGATGAGATGAGATGAGATGATATGATATGGTATGATATGGTATGATATGATATGAGATGAGATGATATGATATGATATGATATGGCTCGATTACTATCATAGTTCCCAAGTATACAGTGTACTTGGGATGTAAACGATCCACCCTTTATATTCAGTAACCATTTCCTATTTAGTTTTGCCAATCCTTTTGGTTACCTGTTCTTTCAGTGCACCTAAGTGGCTCTGAAGTGCTGTCGCTGCTACTGACTACACACAAATAGCACACACAAGCACACACTCATCCTCCGCACATATTTCGCACTTGATAAGAGGAAGAGGGACCCATCAGATGCGTAAACTCTTGCAAAAAATGCCCACACAAAAGATTGCGAGGAATCAGGACAGCCAGAAACAGGGGCAGATGCTTGCGATATAAAGAAGTTGTGTCTCAGCATTAGCTGAAAATCGTAATATTAATACAGAAAAGTTCTATAATTGATGCAAATTCTAAGTATGCATATATACTCGTGTGTAATAAAATTAATTAACGATTCCCTTTCAAAGATAGCTTGGCGATCCGTCACTGTCTTCCAGCCACAATAATGCCTCGCCTCTCTGCCGCCCTTTCTCTACTTGGCCACCACTCGGAGGACAAAGTATCTCTCGCTCGTGTAAAGCAATGCGAACGCCCAGTTGTATCTCACAGATACTCTTCGCACACAGAGATACGGCGCGCGATGCGGTAACCGCGATCGCACGCACTCAAATCACCGAATTCGGAACCGAGCGCAGACCTAGAAAAAGCCGAAGCATCGGCGAGCGTTGAGAATGCGCTAATTATTTGCGAGCTTTCTTCGCGAGCGCGAGAAAAGCAGAGGGCTTCTCTTACTCGCCGGCCGAAGAGAAAGCACAAGAGAAAGCAGATAGTTCATTTAACGCAGGGCTCGCATTTAACCCTTGACACGTGCCAGAAAACGCCCAGCCACCCACTGAAAAGTTCAAGCGAATCAGGCAAACTTAAATGCGAGGAAATCAAAGTGAAAGGAGCTGGAGAAATGGTGGAAATGGTGGAAAGAGTGAGGTGGGTAAGGGGAGGGGTGGGGTGGGATGGACAACAGCCAACAGCAGTAATTGGCAAGGTCGTTTGTCGTAATCATTGCGTTTGCTTTTCGGTCTTCCGTTTTCTTATTTTTCGACCAACAAAAGGCGAAACAACAACAGAAAAGACGAACGTTGGCTGTTTGCTTTTGTTTTTTTTTTTAATTTTGCACAACCGCATTTCGGTTTAGCAGAAAAATAAAGATTTTTGCTGGTTCACTTCTAAGAAGGGAAATTCCACTTAAATCTAGCGTTTTATATTTAACTATTGCAATATAATTTGGAACTCATCTGAAAAAATTCCCAAATTAGTCAGATCTTTGCTTTAAAGCAATATTATCAAGTCACGATTAGTTATATAGGTTCATCAACCTTAAAAAATATGCCAATTGAGCGGGCTAACTTAAAGTTGTGGCTAAGTTACTTAAATTGGGTTGAGGAGCTACAACTCACCGATTCATTAAAACTTTCAGGAGTAAGTGAATTTTTAATTTATACATTAGTTAGATAGATGATTTTAGACAGCAGCGATTAATAACACGTATTGCCGAAACAAATGGAATACATTGTAATGGATTTGCCGACCAAATGTCGGTGTGGTCAGGGATCACACGGCGGATGAGCAATGTGCATTTTGTTTGGGCAGAGAATTTCATTTGACTTCCAATGGGCTGAGAATTTGCACACATGTGTTTCGTTTTAGTTAACAGCAAGCGCGTATTAGACATTAACCATTTTTGCTTTGCAAATAAACCCAAATAGATGCCCTAATTTGGCCCAAACTCTGCACACAGATCGGCGCACAAATAACCAGCGAAAGTAGGGCGCCAGCTGCCCACCTTACACCCAAACCACCGCCCCAAAAAGATCGAGAACAATATGGTTTTAATCGGGGCGCGATTCTGTTGATTATAATGCAAATATTACACGCTGCGGTGATCTGTTTAATAGAGCACTATGTGCGTACAGATAGGCGTGTATGTATGTATGTCGATATTTTGCGGCACCTAGATGAATATGTCTTACAAAAGTTCTTTGTTTACCCGCCGCCCGTTTTCGCCTGTTTAGCATTTGGCCAAATGTGCGTAATTTACTTAGCCCAATTTCCGCCATTTCCAAATAAATTTCTTGTTTACGCGCTTTATAATTGCGCCGGGTTATTGAACCCCACCCACAAAATACAAAACTGTACCGCTTAGTGGCTCCCACTTGCTATCAAATTGGCAAATTCGGATGAGGGCTGCCATCTCAACGCTCTCAATTATGTCACCCTCAAGTATTTCGGGTGCCTCATAAATTACGTTGAATGAATTTAATTGCCACGACGCATAAATCTAAAGCGCTTCAGTTGAGTTTTCGCCGAAAAAGCAAAGTGACTGGGCTTGGCGCCGGCCATTTATTAAAAGTGTTTGGCGAAAATTTCAAAAAGCCAGGAGAAACATCAGAAGTCGCGTGGAACGCTTTTTTACTTATACGAGTTACAAATATTTTATTGAGTGAGCTGTCGTTTTGACCTAAAAAAAAGAAAATCTCAACTAAAAATACCTTCACAAATTGTGATATTTCTTTAAGTTTAAGCGAACCAAAATAAAGTGCATTTGAATTCCAAGAAGCGTTAGGTAAAACTAAATTTGTCTTTCATAACCACTATTTGCATATGCCCGCAGTAAGGGTATCGAAGACCCGATGACGACGCAGTGCAAGGAGAATAAAAAATAGAGAACTGGCAAAAATTCGCGCATTTGCCCTTGAAATAAATTTTAGTTTGCGAAAAAAAGTGGAAAAAATGTGCGATTTTTGGCTGCTTTGTTTCTGACTCGGATTGAGTGCTCCGCTTTTTCGGGTGATTTCTTTGTGTGGCTTATGCTGTTTGCATTTCGTCTAAACTTTAGATACACCCGAGCGGCTTAAGCGCAGGAAGACGCGCGGCGACGAAATCAAATGAAACAGAAATAAATGTTTTAGTTTGCATTTGGAATGCTTTGCATGTAATTTAAAAACTGGTCTAGCGGGGCCCCGTCCCAAGCCAAAAACCTTCGCTCGATTCGCTAAGTTTGCCAAAATTATGCGCGACTGCCCTCGAGCCCCGCGCCCCGCTCCCCGCCCCTCGCCCCTCGGCCCGCCCTCAAGCGGTCGTAATTTATTGTAGACGGCGGTGGCAACAACAATTTGGCAAATACGGAAGTCTATATATCTCGCTGCGCTTTTGCCTTTATCTTCCACAGTCTTGGCTTTGTTTGGCTTTGTTTGAAATGTAATAAATTTGGCCAAGTCGCTGCGAAGTCACTGCAAGCCGGCATCGATCGATCTGTGTCCCTGGTTTTATTTTTAATTATTAACTTGGTTAATGAATCTCGCAGTCGAGCGCTGAGCTCAGCTCGGATTTGGAATCGGATTTGGAACGAGCGCGCTGCATGAGAACAGCCTTCAAATCCGCTGACCTTTGCTATTTCGATTTTTGCATATTTCTAGCAAATGCTATTGGACCCACAGAAAACACAGAAACACCGAAACACCGAAACACCGAAAACATGTTTGCATATGACGCTCGATTTGATTTTTAATTGCCACAGCCGCGAAACTAGCTTGCTTCATTGCGGACTCCAGATTCCAGGGAGCAGCTCCCAGCTTCCAGGTTCCAGCTCCCAAGTTCCAGCTTCCAGAATTCCTATTCCCAGCAAGTGCCGGGCGGTGCATTCACCTCTTGCGTAATGAACACCAACAGCGCCACCAACGGAGCTAGGGACTGGACTTGGTCCACGGCCTGCAGTTTCAGTTGGCCAGGTTAGCCAGTTTGGAGGCTGGGTACTTGGATACTTGGATACTTGGATGCTGGGTACTGGGTACTGGGCTCTGGAGTTGGCGCGCAGCTGCGTTGCAGAAATTAGAATTAGAATTCGCCTGGCTCTTAGCGCGGCCAAGGAGGAGATGGCCAGGCTGGAGCCGCTGATAAAGCCATGCGCAAAAAGCCAACGCCAAAGTCGCAGTTTTAGATAGGCACTGAGAGAAAAAAGCTGGAACCCAGATGAAAATACAGAAATATCGGCAGTCGGTACAACATCTACCCTTAAAGTTACCCAATTAAAGCAGTACTAAATAATTTATAATTTATGCTTCCAAAAGTGAGCCAGGTCAAAGGGTATTTTCCCTAAAACAATTTATAAAAATATTTATAAA